AAAAAGAATTGAGATTAAAAATGGTGCTATGTTATGATTTTTATTATTATTATTATTATTATTATTGATATTATTATTATTTTTATGTGACTTAATTTTTTTTTTTGTGATTTTTTTTTTTTTTTTTTTTTTTTTGTGTGTACAGTACTTCCCTATTATTGATTTGCATCTCACTATGTATTTTATTCTGTTAATTTTGAAGCACCATTATTGTGATGAGTGCCTTAATGGTTTGGTTAGACTTTTTATTTCATGCTCTTTTATTGTATATTCCTTTGTTTGGTTTTGCAATTTTCTTTGTGCATTTCATTTTGTTACTTTGGATGCAACATTATTGTAATGGGTGCCGCTGTTTTAAAAGCGTTTTTCCGAAATAAATTATTATTATTATTATTATTATTATTATTATTATTATTATAGCGCATGAACGGCGCCCTCTTGCTAAATTGGAAACTTTTGAACCTTGACCGACGCTTCTATTTGTTACGCGTAAATCGCGGAGAACGCTATCTTGTGTTTATAAGATCTTTGATTCCCATACAATGTTCAATTTCGTTTTTATCCTTTTGCAAGTTTCTTTAAATTTTTGTTTAATAATACTACTACTAAATAGTAATAATAATAATGACAATGATGATGATGACGATAGTAATAATTGATAATAATATTAATAGCAATAAAAAGTGACGAAAATTGTGCTAAATGCGAAAAAAAGTTTGTTGATCATAACTATTATAGTATATATAGTTAAAGCTTAGTAAGCTATAGTTAGGCTTAAGTTGTCCTGGATATTGTAGATCCTTGATAAAAGATAGTGATAAATTTTTTGGTGTTTCATTTTGACTATAATGGTGATGTGATGAGGATGAATTTTACTATATAAAAGTGTCATTTCCGGCCATCTCGAGAGGTACTATTTCCTCAAATTTTCACACCTCAGCCCCAGCAATGGTGGGGCTGAGGTGGTTGTGAAATTACGTTTTTTAAGTAGGCCTATGTATAGTACATACTCAAAGAAAATGTTTTAAGCTTTGTTTTCTATATGATATATCACACATACATTAATAAGATCTCTATGATTGTCAAAAATCCCTGATAAAAGGTCATGAGAATTTTTGTTGATGGTGATGTGATGATGAATTTTACTAAAAGTGTCATTTCTGGCCATCTAGAGGTACTATTTCCTCAAATTTTCCTCCACCTTTCAAAACAGATCTGTGCCCTTCCCTGGGTACCGTATGACATTAAACTCCATCGAGTTGGTTCCTGATGTATGTCTGTTTGCTTTAAGGATGTGATCTGGTTTTTCATGTCAATTTTTCGTGATTATGACTATTCTGGATAAAGAATGTTTTGAGCAGAGGTGGATTTAAGGCCCCTCCCTTCATTTGTTTAAGAAAAAATATATATATTCATGTTGAAGTGCGAGAGTGTAATTTCCGGCCATCTAGAGATGACCTAATCATAAATTTTTTGACCTCAGCTCCACCCATGGTGGGGCTGAGGTGGGTCGTTCCTCGGTCTGTGAAAGCCCCTCCCTCGTTCACCTCTCTTTCGAATTCCTGGATCTGCCACTGTTGATTTATTGTATAATAATTTTTGCGCTTATTTATAATGACGCGTCTATTGCAATTTTCACTTTATCCTCTCAAACAGTCCTAAGAACGTTTAGAGTGCTTTACTTCACAGGGGGATTCGCCCCCATGACCCCGCCGGGGTCCTACGTCATTCACATAACGGCTCCCCCCCCCCTTTCAAAATCCTGGCTACGTCCCTGCCCCAGTATGCCACTGTCTCAGTGCTAGGCCTCTTTTAATGACAGAATCCTATGTTATGTGCCTATATCAATGAAAGTCTATGTTCATATTGGTTTGTTTCCGTTCCCATCCCATCCCACATTGCCTACCTTTAAATTTGATATGATCGCAATCACTGCAATGGCTGATCCAAACGAAATGACTAGGAGAACAATCCGGACGCATTCTTGGAAGATGCTTTTGAAATCGACCATATTTTTAGGCGTGAAACCGATAAAACGACGTAATCGTAAGTAAATCTGCCTTCTTACGTCGATAGGAAACCAGGCTTTAGCTTGGGCTAGGACTAAAATCTTCACGTCGGCGATTTTTGTCGTCGGCGTTGGGCGGCTGCACGCCGCCGTTTACGTCGGCATTGCCGAATGCCGGCGTTAATTTTGAGGGCTGACTTTACGTAAATAAATAAAAAATATTCAATATATTTAATTGCATATAGGCTACAACATATATTTTGGCTTAATCAACCCATATATTGTTGTTTCTAAACAGACGACCTAACGTTTCAACTAAAATAATTTAATTGTTTTATATTTGACTTCTAATGTTAATTTATTAAGTTCACAAGCGATTCTATTAACTTGCTTTTACAACAGTATTTTTTAGAACTTTCGACAAATTGACATAACGTTAACTTCCATTGTCTTTTTAATAGCAAATAAGTTTTTCTGACTCGTTGATTTTTATGTTTCTCGATAACCTATTGACAGTGGCGCCTAGAGGCCCTGTCTCTTATACACATCTAGATGTGTATAAGAGACAGGATCGTAACAGTGTTGGACGCCGCCTTAGCAGAAACTATAATATTAGTGTATATATACCGTATATATATATATATATATATATATATATAAAGTATATATATATATAGATAGATATATAACATTTTTAAGAGCCATACTATCAGTGATTTAGGCTAGTTAATCTTAGCCACCAATTTTAGATCTGCTAAGGCTAGAAGATGTCCCGAAGGTATCCGCCCAGTCCTCTAGCCTTAGTAGATTTGAAATTGGTGCCTAAGATTATAAAGCCTAAATCACTGATGGTATGGCTCGGTAAATTAAAGTGGTGATCAACAGGAAGACCTTTTAATGGTCTTAACTAATTTTTTTGTGGTTGTTAAGTCTTGACTTTAAATTCGGTTTCGCCTACAATAATTACCGTTATTACATTAGTTCAAAATAATTTGAGTTAGGCCTACATTCGATTTCGCCTACATAATTGCTGTTTATTACATTTTATTTCAAAATAGTAGTGTGCTGTGCTTTTGTACGACGGTGACGACAAAAATCAAACTGGGTTTTCGGCAAACCGGGTTTCGGCAAACTGGAATTTTTAATGTTTTTGGTGAACTGGATTCGGCAAACTGCGTTTTCAGCGAAGTGGGTGAAATTCGGGAAACCGGGTTTCGACAAACTGGATTTCAACCAACTGGGACTACCGGAGAGATAGGCCTAATAGGTCGATTTATAAGGCGCAAATATACACTAGGTCTCTAAGCGCCATGTCCAAGAAAGAAAAGGCAAGGTGAACGTAAAAAGAATAAAGCAGACAAAAAGATGCAGGAGATTATAAAAACAGATAAATACAAAAAACAGACTAAAAATTAACCAACAGAAGAAAACCACAAAAACAGACTAGTGCAGGTATCATGTATACCTCTTCGCTCTCATAAACAAACTAAGCATAGTTGGCTGTTGACGCCGAGGAGCTCATCTGCTCTTTGTTCATCTTTGGGCTACCGGGTACTAGTCCGGCATGCTTAGCAGATGGATGTGGACGTTCCGGACAAAAGCACCAATTTTTTTTTACATGCTCCTTATGGTCATAGCATTCAATTTTTGGTAGGAACTGTAATATTCTACCTTTTTATTGACACACAGTCGTGCTAAATACTAATAATACACACAGTTACAAATCCAAACAGGACACCTTGTTAACATGGCTTCCAGAACACATGGACAGAATTTAATGTGTATACCGTTATCCAGCCGTTTTGCTAGGCTACTACAAAGACGTTTGTTTGTGTTAATATATTACATCACTCCCTTTAAAAAAATTAAATCTTAGTTGTACGAAAATGACAATTGTAAACTGTTAACTATTTTTGGTTATGAATATTTCATATGAAATTTTACTATAACGTAACTATAAGCAACTACTGTATTCTAATAAACACATGAACTTACTGTATTAAACTACAGTATTTATAAATCTAACATAACTACACTGTATACTTATCTAGTCTAAGAACATGAAACTCAGGATTATATCAAAACATCACTAACTTGTTATCATAACATTACTTCTTGTTATAATAATATCACTATCATCATTACAAATAGTATACTGCAAGTACAGTACATGTATTATTCATGATCTGAATTATCGGTTTAGTACTTGAAGTATCTAGCATCTGTAGTGATTTCTAAATTGTCTTGTATTAACATAGGCGTATATTTCTTATTATACCTAACAAACTTGTAAACACAAAGTTTTGAATCATAGTAAAGTTTTAAACACACTTCTCTCCTTTCTTTCATTAAGCTGTGCCTATGTGTTAGCAAATAAATGATCAGGGTGAATCACCTTCTCAACTTGTCCTATTCTCACTACATATTTTCTGGGACCACGTACCTTTGTAATAATACCCTTTAACCATCCTCTTTGCATGTTGATCTCATATTTTTGACTCTTACGCTTTGATTTAATTGAAATTGCCTTTCCGAATTAATTTTAGGATCTTTGTACAATGTCTGTTGTGCCTGTTTTTCTTCAACATACTGTGCAATATTTGGACTAACTAATGATAGTCTTGTTCTGAGCTTACGCTTCATAAATAACTCTGCTGGAGTAAGTCCAGTGGTACTATGCGGAGTAGTCCTATACTTAAACAAGAAATTAGCCAATCTATGCTTCATTGATAGCTTGGAGTTACCATCAAGTACTTGCTTAGTCAAAGCCTCTTTTACTACTCTTACAGCTCGTTTAGCAGCTCCATTAGTGGCAGCATGGTATACTGGGCTACATGTATGTTTTATCTTATTTTTATAAGAAAGCTTACGCTTCATAAATAACTCTGCTGGAGTAAGTCCAGTGGTACTATGCGGAGTAGTCCTATACTTAAACAAGAAATTAGCCAATCTATGCTTCATTGATAGCTTGGAGTTACCATCAAGTACTTGCTTAGTCAAAGCCTCTTTTACTACTTACAGCTCGTTTAGCAGCTCCATTAGTGGCAGCATGGTATACTGGGCTACATGTATGTTTTATCTTATTTTTATCACAAAAGGATTTAAATTCTGCACTAACAAATTGTGGGCCGTTGTCAGATACCACTTCTTCAGGCAAACCATATCGTGAATATATAAGTTTCAATTCCTCGATTGTTCTACTACTTGTGGTACTTTTCATATGCACCACTTCTAACCACTTACTATGACTATCTATTAAGACAAGAAAATTATTACCATCCTTTTCACAATAGTCGACATGCACTCTTTGAAATGGTCTTGCTGGCCATTTCCACGGAATTAAGGGTGTTGTGGGAGGAGTGCTTCTTACACTTTGACATGTTTGACAATTTTTAACAATCATTTCAATATCGACATCAAGTTTGGGCCACCACACATAGAATCTTGCTATGGCTTTCATTTGACAGATACCTGGTGTTCCCAATGTAACTCTTTAAGCATTCTTTCCCTCAAATTTGTGGGAATTATAACTCTCTGACCCCAAAGCAAGCAATTTCCAATGCAAGATAGCTGAAGCTGTTTAGATATGTAAAGTTTTAGGGAATTTTCTTCACTCATTATGTTACAGACTGACTTTTCTGGCCAGCCCTCCTTTACATATTTAAGGACTGTGTTCAACGTGGCATTTTCAATTTCTTTCGCAGTCAGCGGGAAATCTTCCTCAATTACACTGACATTATAAAGCTTTTGTTCAAGATCTTGTTGCGATTCATCTTTACAGGGCAATCTTGACAGTGCGTCCGCAAGAACATTTTCCTCGGACTTGATATACTCAATTTCATAATCATATTGGTTGAGAAGAAGCGCCCATCTTTGAATTCGGCCAGCGGCCATCACCGGAACTTCACTTGTTGGACCAAAAATCTTTAGCAGCGGCCTATGATCTGTTCTAATCGTAAATTTTCTACCCATTAGGTACTTATAGTAGCGCTTAATACCATCTGTCTCTTATACACATCTAGATGTGTATAAGAGACAGTCATTAAGCTGTGCCTATGTGTTAGCAAATAAATGATCAGG